CTCCTCCTCCCTTTTCCTCCTCCTCCTCCTCCTCCTCGTCCTCCTCCTCCTCCTTCTCCCGCTCCTCCTCCTCCTCCTCCTCCTCCTCCTCGTCCTCCTCCTCCTCCTCCTCGTCGTCCTCGTCCCCGTCCTCGCCACCCTCACAATTCTGGGACAAGAAACGGAAATTGATACGGAGGGAATGGGTACCGACGTGTCTTTGTGTAGTGTCAACCGGGGCGTTGGTTTTTGACACTGCGGGTATCGTTCAACGTTGAGCGAACGGATTTTTCCGAATCGTCAAATCGTTCAACATCGACCGATTCTGGGTCGCCAGCTCAACGTTAAACGCCGGCGGCGGGGTCGCCGCAAATCGACACGACGCGAACCGACCGCACGATGCCAAACAGCAGATGTTGTGCCAGACCGGCAAGGGCCGCTGTTGGCCAGGCGGCCTTCTGTCAAATGGACAACGTCCGCGGCGACGCCTACAAAAATCTGCCCCGTCGGTTTTCCCAACCCCGGGCGTCATCACTTTTTCACCACGTTGACCCCCAGATATCTCGACCCATCTTCTGGGAGTGTTTTTTCATTCTGCGTCGTTTCCTGGCGCCTCGAGGCCAGGCAACGGCCCCGCAGGCCGATTGCCGGCGGCGAGGCAAAACTGCTGCGCAGCGGAAGAGGTAAGATGGAAACGCCGAGAAGCGAATTGCCCAGCGCGCAGGAGGGGGGACTGAGTCCGCGGAGCGGAAAACTTCCGACCTAAGCGCGCTGGCGCGGCCGGCGTCGGCAGTGGGGGCCGCGGCAGCTGCTGGGCCGCGGCGTCGGGGCACCCGCGGGCGACGACGAGGCCTAGTACGTAGCACCAAAGAGTCAGCAATGAAACCGTCAGCGAGGACCGACTGGGTACTGCGCGCCAGGGAAAGCGCCGCGAGGCCGCCAAGGTGGGTCGACAAGGCGCGGCAAATAAACGAGCGATCTAGGTTTCAGATTGCCGCCGGCAAATTGCTGGGCCCGCGGGGCGGGACAGAGGGCGGCAAGACCAGGCCCGGGAGCACTGCCGCGCGGGGGGGGGGCTGCCAGCCGCGTCTGCAGAGCAGGTGTCGCGGCAGCGCGCGGAGGGAAGGAGGGGCAAAGCGCGGGGGGAGAAGAGGGGGGGGGGCAGGGCCGAGGAGCGCCCCGCCTGCAGGGAGGCCCCCGCAGGCGGTGCGTCAGCCCGGGTGCTTGGCGGCAGCGGGAGCTGGAAGTGGGCGGCCCGCGCAGCGGCACCCCCGCGGCCACCTGCGCACCGAGCCCGTGACCACCTCGCGGGCAGGGCTGGAGCGGCGCGGGCATGAAAACTGCGGCCCATCCGTGGAAGGCGGCCATGTGGGCGCACTGCCTGCATCAAAACTGCGGCGTGGCGCTGTCCTGCGCGAAGGGCCTCAGCCGGAGGGGCGGGTGCCGCGCGCTGTCTGGGCGGGCACGATGGCGGGGCCGAGGCCGCCAATCCGGCGCGGTGGCCTGCGAGGCGGACAGCGGCTGAAGCAATTGAGTGCTCCGCGCTGTCTGGGCGAGCAATGCGCGGCGGGCCTGCGGGCGCAAACCGGCGCAGCAACTCGAATGAATAGGGGCGGCGCAGCGCTGGGTCGCAGGCCGCGGGCTGACCTGAGGAGAGAGGCCAGAGCTGAGACGGAGTGCCGACCAGGTCGGCCCACCCGCCGGTGACCCTAGTCGTCGGGGGGGGTCAGCGCGGGGAGGCCTGGTGCTGGGCGCGCGGCGCCGGCCGTTGACTGGCGCGACCGTGACGCCAAAGGCCATCGAGGCTGGGTGGGCCCGACGGGTCGGGGCGGCGCAGCCTCGACTGATCGTCGTTGGGCCAGGCGGGGTCGGCGCGTATAATTCCTTTCCCAAACCGGTCGCGGCCTTTCCCCTTGCCCCGGCCATGGTCGCATGCCGCTCGTTGCGCCGGTTCTGGCGTTCCTAGACGGCCCCCCAATCCATCTGGACTTCGCGCGACCTGCAATCCTTGCGGATTTCGCAGTAGGCGTGGCGCACGTCGTTCGCAGACTCCTCGCGTAAGTCGTCGTATCTCTCTGTGTCGCAGGTGCCTCTCGCTGGTCCGCGGTTGTCCGCGGCGTCGCAGAGGGCGTTCCATCCATCGGCAGAGAACGCGCCGCAGTCCCGCTCTTGCCTGTTGGCGACTTCTGGCCCAGTTTCCTGGGCGTCGGTTTCGTCGTTCCACGCCTGATGCCAGGCAATCAGCCGTCGGGGCCGAACCGCAGCGCGTCGCCATGGTCGTCGCGGCGGGCGTAGCCTGGATCAGCCCGCGGAGGCCTGTGCCACTCGTGCGACTCCGGGGCAGTGTGACGCGGGCCAGTGGTTGAGGGGGGGGCTCCTGGCCCTTGGTCGCTGGCCCAGGGGCTAGCGTGTGCAGACCAGACGTGGCGGGTTTGGCGACTGCATCCTCGCTCGCCCGTCCTGGGGGACTTGCGTGCTTGTCCGGTTGCCGCGGCGCGCCCTGTCGCTGTGCCGTTGGCGCGGCGGTCTTTGGGGTCGGGTCTACCTGCGCCCGCCCCGACTGCGTCGACGCCCCCCGCGGCCTGCTCATGCTGCGGAAGCGCTGGGGGGCCGGCCGTTCTACGCGCCCGGGGCCCGCGCTGCTCGCCGATGCCGGGGCGTGGCCGGGCGCGCGGGGCTTCGCGCTGGGGCGCGCGCCTGGGGGCCCTGATCTGGGGCGTCGGCGCCCGCCGAGTAGTCGACCTCCACCTCGCCGCTTCCAACGGAAGCCTTCTGACCTGGGGGCGACGGCGCGGTCGCGCGAGCCTCCCGGGCAAGGGGGTGCTCGGGGGTTGCAGAGCTGGCGGGCCGTGCCTCCAACCGCGCAGCAGTACGACCTCTGTCGCACAGCTGTCTGCTGTCTGCTGTCTGCGGGCAGGGCATTGGCCGCGGTGGCGGCGCCCTGCGGCGGCGCGCGGTGCTCGGGCTGCGTTCGGGCGCTCAGCCCGAGCGCCCGGTGCCCTTATCTTGTCGGGGGCTGTCTTGGCGGCGACGCTCGAGTCGGCCACGTCCAGGCTGTCTGCGCTGGGCGGGTAGTAGTGATGACCGGCTCTGCACCTCCTGCATGGCGAAGAATCTCGCGGGGCGCTGCTGTGCCTGTTCGGGGCGTTGCCCAAGCTCGCGCCCAGCTGGGGATGGTCGGAACCCACAGAGGAAAGCCATTGCTCGGCCTGGTTCCCCCCCCGATTGGGGGCGCGCCCTCTCGCCCCAGCGAGGTAGGCGACCACGTGTACCAGGGCAGCGCGCCTTCCGCCCCAGGCGCATTCCTCGGGTATTCCGTCGGCTGGTGCCCTTAGGCGGATGCACTTGCAATCGTCTTCTATCCATGGGCGCGGGTCCAGGGGAGCGTCGTTAGGCCCCTCGGGGCCCTGTCGCTGTTGCTGCCGCTCCTCTGCCCATTGTCGCTGGGCCTCCGCGACGTCGTCGCGCAGGGCCCGGGCGCGTTGCGCAAATGCGCAGGCAATTATGCGGCCCCCCTTCCTCTTCCCCAGGCCCGGCTCGACCGGCTCGAGGGGGCGCGGCGCCGCTCCTCGATCGTCGAAGGCGGGGCGGGCCCGGGGCAGCGCCTCGGGGAGGTCGAGGAGGGCCCTCCAGCGTCGACAGGGTCGGTCAATGGGCAGAAGACGATTTCTTCCCGGCGCTGTAGGGAGCGGGCAGGCCACGCGGCGCCAGCCTGCAGCGAACGCGCCCATCCCTAGCCCGCGCAGGAACCCAAGCAGGGCATCCGCCTGCATTTGGCAGGGTGCTTTGGGGGGCGCCTCTGGGGAGGGCGGGCGCGCAGTCGCCCCGCCGGAGCGGGCGCTTGTCTGCTGCCCAGACGGCCAGGTGGGCGAGCGTGAACAGGCGGCAGGTGCCTTGCTGGGACCAGCCGCGCAGGCCAGTGGGCCCTTTGCCCGCGGGCTGGCCGTTTCCCCGTATAGGGCCCTACGAAAGGTGCCCAGGAAGGCCCGATTCTGGTCTGCCGACGCCAAGAGACCGTCGTCGTCGAGGTCGCCCGGGGAGGTGGCCGCAGCAGCCTGCCTCGGCATAAGGGTCTGGAGCAGAGCGCCGGGAGGGCGGGCGCCCGCGCCCTTGGGGCGGGGCGGCTCGCCCCCCGTGCGGGGGGCGCGTTGTATCCAGGCGCTGGGTCGTTGTCCCTCTACCTTGGTCGGGGGGCCCGGCCCCATGGGCCCCGGCCCCCGTGTGCCGGGGTCTGATGTCGGCCGCGTGTCCTCGGGCCCTGGCGCGCGGCTTCGGCCCGGCGGCGGGGTGCGGCCAGTGTCTGCTGGGCGGCGGCTGCCTCGTTTGCTCCCAGGCTCTCCGCTGCCCCCTTCTGCTGGCAGATGTTGCGGCGGGCGGTTTGGCCCGTGCGGGTGGGCCCTGTCCCCTGCGGTTGGGGTTGTCGCCTCCTGATCGTCGGTCGCGCTCTCCCTGGACGCGCGCTGGCTAGTTCGCGCGGTCGGATCCTTGGGAGGGGGGGGGCGGGCGCGGCCCCGGGGCCTGCCTCCTCGGTTTTCGCGCGACCCCGTCCTTTGATGGGGGGAATGGCGCCGCGCGCGCGGGGGCGCGATCGCGGTCGGAGGGCTCGGCGCGGCCTTGTCCCCGCCATGCCGACTGCATCGCGATTTGCGCCCGTTTGGTTTTCCCGAGCAGCTGGCCGCCGCTGGTCTGGGCTGGATCGTCGGACTGAGCCTGCTTCCACACTCCAAGGGGGTCTTGATCTTCTGCGAACGCCTCGTCCATCTTCTCTTGGTCCTGTGCGTCCGCGAGATTGAGGATGCCGGATACCTCGCGCGGGCGTGGGTGGCTTTCCCAGAAGCGGGTTCCTGGCGGATGGTGGTGGCGCTGGGGTCATGGCAGGCGTTGCGTGGGAGACTTGGGATCAGGCTCGGCGGGGCGGAAGACGAACGTGCCCAGTCGTCTGCGTCCGCACCTCCACTGGTGTAGCGGGGCGGACTCGGGGCAGCGGTCGCATCTGCTCATCCACCCACCTTTGAAGCCCGTTTGTCCGAGTCTGTCGTCGTTGGTGCGCTGGGCTGGTATTGCGGCGGAGACTGTGCCTGGGTCGTTGTGTCCCTTCTGGGCCAGCAGCAGCCTCCAGACGGGTGTGTCGGCGTCGGGGAGAGCAACCTGCGTTTCTGCTGGCAGTGGCTTCGGCTGCGAGGCATTGGGCGCGGCTGGTTGCTGTTGGTCTACGTCGCACAGGAAGTTAACCAGCTTGGCGCCGCGGGATCTTTTGCCCTTCGGCTTCCCAGTCGGCAGTTGACCCTTTGCTTGTGCGCACTCTTGCGGCTGGCTGCTAGGATCATGCGGGTTTCTGGGTTGACCCATGCGCCGCCTTCGGGGACGAGACGGCCTCGCGAGCAGTCGTCACGCCATATCTGGTGTGGCTGGGCGGCAGGCTGAAATCTTGAGTCTCCTAGGTGGAGTATTGGGGGGTCGAGCGCGACCCCAAGGAGGGCTCCCGTAGGGGGCGGCTCGTGCAGTTCGCGCCCGCTGCTCGTTTGCCCGCTGCCTATGTACTGGGCCTTGATCGGGGTCGGCGAAGCGGGGGAGAGCCCGACTTCGGAGCCAGTGAGGCCCTGAGAGAACGCACGCACGGCGCACTGTTGTCCTTCTGGCGCGGACGGGTCGGCTGAGGTGGCGAGCTGGTCTAGGACCGCCAGGGTGCCCGTCAAGGGGAGATCTAGGGCCAACAGTTCGCTCCATGTGCTTGTGCCATGTTGCTTTTTGGCGGCGTTGTGGTGGTGGGCGACCGTGACTAAGCGCGCGGTAAATCTGATGAAGGCCTCAGTGTGGCCGTGCAGCGCCCGAAACTCTTATCCTGTGATTCTGTGCGCTCAGCCGAGGCTGTCCTTTACTGGCAGTCGCGCCTTGCTAAATAGGTCACATCAGCCCAACGCTGCTTCAAGGGCGTCGCCGATGTGGCCAGGGTTTCCTTAAGGCGCCATTCGGGGCTTGGGCTCTTGGACGAGCAGCAGCATGAGGGCAAGCACGCTGTTGGCCCACGTGTTGCTGAGAGGAGGCCCCGTCGGGACCTTGCAGCGTGTCAGGGAAACTTCGGGTGTGGCCGTCAGGGGGCTGCACGAGGGCGTGTAGTTGCTCGACGGTGGCTCGGCCTTTGTGTCGGCATCGCTCGCATGTAGTGTTGCTCCAGGCTGCTGGCGGCTGTCTAGGGGTGCTGGCTGGGACACAAGAGGTCGCCTTCCGACTCCACCGGATGCGCCCGCTGGATCGCTTTGGCTCTGGCGGGGGTCAATCGTCGAATGTCCTTGTCCGAATTGCTGCTTGGGTGGAGCCCTGCGAGCTGCAGGAGACACGCCCACTTTGCTGCGTAGACGTAGCTTGCTGGGTCCAGGCCTAGCTCTATGTCGTAGGGGAAGCCGTCGTGGCTGACCAGCTTTCGGCAGTGCTCATAGAGGTCGACAGGAGCGTCCCCCCGGCCGTATAAGTGGGGATGGGGGCTGTGCACGTAATAAAGGACTGGGGCAAGCGCTGGGTCCATCAGCAAGGCGGCGGCGCCTGTCGCTTGGAGGTCCATTGCCAGCCAATCCCAGCTGAAATCTGCCGGGAGCACGCTGTTGCTCATGGTCTCGAACCCTAGGGCGCGCTGCTTCACCACCTTTAACAACCTCCTTCCCTGGGCCTGTCTGGGCCCGCAGGCCGCAAACAGGGAAAAACCTTTCGTCGTCCCTGGGATCTGACGTGCCGAAAAAAACAAAAAGGCAACACGGCAACACCACAAAAAATCACGCCCAGAGCCCGAGACCCAATTTTCCTGCGTCCTTTTCTGCGGGCCGGACCGGTCTGCGAAGGTCCTGGGGCCCGAAAACCTGCGAACACCACGCGCCCGGCTCGAACAGCTTGAAACGCCCAGGATCTCAGAGGTGCCTCTCTCTCGTGACCCGAGGAGGTGTCTCTTTCCGTGCCCGCCTCGTGCGTGCCGCCCTGCGCGGCGGAGACGGCCGGCGCCTTTGGGCGTGGCTTAATGGGGGGTTGTAAATGGCGGGGTCAGAAACGGTCCCCTTTCCTGCCCCCTTTCGGGCCCCTCCGGAGCCCCAGGGGGCTCGTTTAGGTACCGTTGGGGTACCTTTTCGGACCACCCTCGCCCCCCCCCCCCCCCCCCCCCCCCCATATATGACCCCCCCATGACGCGACGCCCGACGCCTGGTCGGGGCCCTCGCGCCGGGCGCGGGGGGCCGCGGCAAGCTCCGCGGCCCAGCGGGCGACGGCCTCGGCGGCGGGGTGCTGCAGGGTCGCCTCGCCCGCCTTGCGAGGGGGCGTCGAGGTGGGGCTAAGAGGGGGCAGAGGGTGCAAAGATTCGGCGGCGAGCGAGGGGGGGGAAAAGGGGAAGGAGAAGGCCTTCGCAGAAGGCGGCAAGGCTTCTCAGAAGCCCTCGCGCCTTCTGATAAAGCTGTCTGTAGCTTCGGGGAAGGCCTAGGACCGAGAACACTTCTCGGAAGGCTGGGGGACTTCTGAGCCTTCTGAGAAGGCCCGCCTCTTCTCACTTCCCCCCTTCGCTCGCCGCCGAGAGTTATTGTACCCCAAACTGGATTCTCCGTCGAATCTACGAATGACTGTGCAGAATGCTTAGTGGATATGCGGAGCATTCTGTAGTTCTTTGTAGATCGACTCGGCGGCATACTTTATTTTGAAGTAAATCGACCATGTAGTCGATCCCCCACTGGAAAGGTGGTGTAAGGACAGAGGTACATGTCGCCGCGCCGTGTGTTCTCGACGCGCCCAAATGGACGACGCCGACACCACGGCAAACCCACGGCAAACCCTGCGCCCCGCGCCCTGGACAAAGCTGGCACCGCGGCAACCCCCACAGCAAATCCACCGCGTCCGAGGTTGTATTCCCAGGTGCGAAGAAACACTGGCTGGGGATCGACGGGGGGCATGGAGGGGAAAATACAGCGCAGCGCACGAGAACCTCGTGCAAAATAACGCTACCCACGCAGAATAATCCAAAGGGGCTTAGATCAGGCTCGACTGAGGCGCGATGAAGTCCCTTTGAATTTTCGAAGACTGCCACCACGGGGCCGTCGGCGGCCTTTGCCTGTCGATCGAAGCACTGTTCTGCTAGTATGACATGCGCTCGACTGTGTCGAAACATGCCCATGGAATTGACAGGCTGAGCCTCACCTTCGGCCTAAGTTGCTTCCCGGCGGCGCCTTTCCACGCAGAACTGGCGATGGCTGCCAGCGCCTACATGGACGCTGTGCTGTAGCACTGGATTCGGTCCGGGACCCCGTTCGGCGGACTGAGGCACTATGCCCCTCACCTGCGTTGCCTGGATCATTGAATTATGGCCATCAAGGGGCCCTCAAACGGAGGTGCGCCCACCCAGTGGAGTAGCGATCGTGGCCGTTTCGGAGGTGCCCAAACAGGGGCACGCGCGCGACATTCCCCCGCGGGGGATGCCCAAAACCACCCCCCTGGGCAGCTGATCGAGGCTGGAGGTGCCCTAAACCACCCCCTGGGGCAGCTGATCGAGGTTGGTAGATACCCAAAACCACCCCTCTGGGGGAACATACTGGGAACGTAGGGGACCATACCGGGATCAGAGTGGGAACACAGGGGAACATAGCTGCCCATAAACATTGAAAAACCATTGGGTCTTCAATGATCAAATGGAGATAGGGGAACATAGTGGGAACACAGTGGAAACATAGCGGAACATAGTGGGAGCACAAGGGAAAATAGCTGCCAAAAAACATGCAAAAACCATTGCTGTGCAAAGGATCTAGGAGAGCATAGGGGAACACAGTGGGAACATAGTAAGAACATCGGGAAACGCAGGAGAACATGCCCCAGGGGGTGGTGTTGGGCCCCCCCCGCCTCGATCAGCTGTCCCAGGTGGTGGTGTTGGGCACCACCCGCCTCGATGAACTGCTCCTGGGGGTGGTTGTAGGCCCCCCCAGCATCGACGAGCTGCCCCAGGGGGGGGGTGGTCCCGCAGGGGGCTGTCGCGCACAGGCACCCTCTGGGAGCCAGCCAGGGCGGGGGGGGGGTACCACGACCTTGGGGCCCAGTCCACCGCCAAGACCGCATCGCGCAGCTGCCCCGACAGCTCGTCTGGGGGTCGTTCCTGCAACGGCTGGTGGGGCTGCGCGAAGCGTCAAGACTTGCGCATGGGTTCCTGAGCTTGGCGTTGTCCTCCGACCCTTCCCGCTCTCACTGATGCTTGCGGGCGTCTTGATGTCCTCTCCCGGCCCCCCTGCGCCTTTCCCATCCCAGTCCATCCTCTCCCCCCTTTCCGCTCCTCGCGATTCGGGCCCAACTGCGCCCCCAGCACGTTTCCACCCCTGGCGCCGCGGACTCTGTGGCTACTGGCGCAACCTGCGCAACGTAAAAAGCAACGCATCATAAGAAGCTGATGCCAAAACCTGCTGTGAATGCGCAATTGCCCCCCCCCCGTCGCCAGGTTTCCCTGATCTGTCTTGAGTGTTTCTTAGGAAGCTAGGTATACAAGTCCGAGGCGGAATTTGCCCTGGTAGCCGCGGCGCCCCCCCCAAGACGGAACGCCGCGCGTCGGAACGTTTTCGACACCGCGTCGTTCGTTCAACCTTGAATCGATCGCGGCCCCTCTGGTTCAAGGTTGAATTCCGTCTGGTCCTGTGGCGTTGCCGTGTCTCTCAGTGCCTCCGTGTCGTTCTGCCATGCGGGATTCAACTTTTAACGCCTTCGACATCGCCGCAAAAACCTACCGTAAAGGTGGGGTATGGGCAGAGGTACATCCAGAATAAGACGATGAAATGACGACAGTGGTGGACGGGGGGCGACGCGTGCTGGGAGGTCGTCGATCATTGTCGATCGTCGCGATCATCGTCGCTCATCTTTGTCGTCGTCGTCGTCATCTTCGTCGTCCTCGTCGTCGTCGTCATAGCTATGGCCGTCCATGCATCGTCTAAACGGCTCCTGGAAGAAGACAGTGTGAGCCTCCAGCCGGTGTCGCTTCCTAACCCCACCAGTGGGTAATCCTCCCTTTAACCCCCGGGCCTTGTCGCCCAGGTGCTGCAGAGCCGCCTCCGGGGTCTTGAACCCGCGGCCGCAGGACAGGCACGCGTAGCCGCTCTGGCCGTCTGGCCTCCGCGCGCAGATTTCCGACACGGCATGCGAAACTTCAGCCAAGGCGTCCTCTCTTCTCGATTCTGGACTCTGTCCCGGGCCCCCCGGCTGTCAGAAACGCATTGGCGGCGAGAAACTATCCGTCGGGCGCCGTCTGGCCTACACGCGAGCGACGAGAAGAATCAGGCCTTATGCAAGAAGGCATTGCGACCTTACGCGGCGGCTTACGCGGGCCGCCAGCGCGGCACGCTGCATTGCAAGCGAGGGCGATTACGCGCGACCCTACGCGGGCATCTTGCACGCGAGTGTCAGCGCAGTCGACCCCGGTTTTCTACACCGCCCACGTGCAGCTCCCCGACGGCATCTGATCTTCCCGCCCGCCGGCGTCCTCGCCCCCCAGTGCCAGCCTCGGGGGGGCCGATACAGGGCCCCGAGGCCATCAGACACAGATCGGGGGCGAACGAATGTCCCCAGGGAAGCTCGGTGGCAACCCATGGAAGCCTCCCATACCATCTTGTCGGCGCTGGCGAATCGACGCTAGCCGACGCTAAATCGACGCCAATCGACGCTAGCCGACGCTAAACCGGCGCTATCTCATCGACTCCTAGACGCTGATCGACGCTGAAGACGGAATGAAAACGGCATACCAGGCTCCCATGATTTGCTACCAAGCCCCAGGGGAGTGTGGGGATTTCTGGGGCCGCGAACTCCTCCTCCTCCTCCTCCTCCCCCTCCTCCTCCTCCTCCTCCTCCTCCTCCTCCTCCCCTCCTCCTCCTCCTCCTTCTCCTCCTCCTCTCCTAACTTCGCGCATCGCGCCCCGCGATGCGCGGTTACCTTCGCGCCCTCGCGACGCCGCCCTGGAGCAGGGCTACCGCCCCGGCCCAGACCGCGAACCGCGAAGCGCGATTCTCGTCGCGCCCCCGCGCGAGGAGGAGGAGGAGGAGGAGGAGGAGGACGAGGAGGAGGAGAGAAAAAGAGAAGGGAGAGGGGGAGGGGGAGAGAGGATGATGATGATGATGATGATGATGATGATGATGATGATGATGATGATGATGATGATGTGATGAGGAGGAGGAGGAGGAGGGGAGGAGGAGGAGGAGGGGGAGGGGGAGAAGAGGAGAAGGAGGAGTTGGAGGGGTGGATGGGGGAGGGACAGGAGGAGGAGGAGGAAGAGGAGGAGAGGAGGAGAGGAGGAGGAGGAGAGGAAAAGAGAAGGGAGGGGGAGGGGGAGAGAGGAGGATGATGATGATGATGAGGAGGAGGAGGAGGAGGACGAAGAGGAGAAGGAGGAGGTGGAGGGGTTGGATGAGGGAGGAACAGGAGGAGGAGGAGGAGGAAGAGGAGGAGGAGGAGGAGGAGGAGGAGGAGGAAAAGAGAAGGGATAGGGGGAGGGGGAGAGAGGAGGATGATGATGAGGAGGAGGAGGAGGACGAAGAGGAGAGGAGGAGGTGAGGGGTTGGATGAGGAGGAACAGGGGAGGAAGAGGAGGAAGAGGAGGAGGAGGAGGAGGAGGAGGAGGAGGAGGAGGAGGAGGGGGAGAGGAAAAGAGAAGGGGGAGGGGGAGGGAGGAGGGGGAGGAGGACAAACTAGGTGCGCTCGCGTCAGATCTGACGTCCTACCTCTCCCTCCCAGCCCTCACCATGGCTCAGATCTCCTCCCGATTCGCACAATCGGATGTCGTAGCATGGCATAGCATGGTGTTGAATATACATAGCACGGCGTGGCGACGCCCCCAAACGAGGGGGGGCTTCTGCGGCCCAACAAATCAAATAGTCGACACCGAATGTGTAATCACTTCCGATGATTCCTTCGGGACGTTTTTTTTTGATGTTCGAGCCGATTTGGAAGGACCGAAGGCCATGTCGAGGCATGGCGATGGAAATAATGACGCCAATGCTGCAGCGGGAGCACGATTCGGAACGACTGGAAGCGCGGAAATGAGGCTAGCGCTGCAGCGGGAGCACGATTGGGAACGAGCGGTAGCAAGAACATGAGGCCAGCGCTTCAACGAGAACAGCTATTGGTAAAACGCGACAAAAACAGGGAAGCGCGGAAATGAGGGCGCGTAGCCTGACATAGCATGACGTGGCGACGCCCCAAAGTGGGTTGGAGCTTCTGCGGCCAAGAAAATCAACGAATCGGCACCGAATGTGTGATCACTTCCAGTGGTTTTGTTTCGAAGGCATTTTCTAGAGATTGGAGCTTATATGGGAGGATCGAAAAATATGCCGTGGCATGGCGCTGGAAATAATGACGGCAACGCTGTAGTGGGGCTACGATTCGGAACGACTGGAAGCGCGGAAATGTGGCCAGCGCTGCAGCGGGAACACGATTCGGAACGAGCGGTAGCCCGGAAATGAAGCCAGCGCTTCAGCGAGAGCAGCATTTCGAAAAAAAATCCAAGCGAGAAACCGTTTCCTGGGAATCCTGTGTTGAAATCCAATACGCGGAAGGGGGTCCAGGCTGTCCCAGACGCCGCGAGGGGAGAGAGGAGAGGAGTATTCATATGGTTGAATTATGGAGGAGGAGGAGGAGGACGAGGACGACGAGGAGGAGGAGGAGGAGGAGGAGGAGGAGGAGGAGGAGGAGGGGGTGGATGAGGAAGGAGGAGCAGGAGGAGCAGGAGGACCAGTGTAAACCCAAGGGCCATCAATGATGTTGGAATAGACCCTCCCTCCAAGCTCCCTCTTCGTAGGCCCCACACAACGGGTCATTTCCATTGAGGGATCTGCCTCGTTGGAAGACAACCTTTTGAGGACCCGAAAGCATGCATAAACATTGTTCTCGGGATTCCATCGCCACGGATCAACTTGACTGTTGCGTCGTGACGATCCTGGATCGCGACAGAACACCACTCTTGGGATTTCAACACCGTCAATCAACGTGACTGTTGAACCCCTTTCCAAAACACTATTTCTGGTACGTCGACCGTAGGAACTCGTGAATCTCTGGCGCATGTTTAGAAACAATGTGCGCGGCGCTCAAGCGAGAACCACTTGTTGAAAAGGAACCGTCCTCAATCCGTGAAGTTCCTGTAAGCTTCTAGAACGAATGTGCGCGGCGCTAAGACGAGAGCCACACTTTTGAAGACGGGTGATCCTCAATCCGTGAAGCCATTGAACAATTTTAGAACGAATGCGCGCTGCGCTAAAGCGAGCACCACATGTTGAAAACGGGTTATCTTCAATCCGTGAAACTCTTGCACATAGTTAAAACGAATGCTCGCGGCGCTCAGGCGAGAGCCACATTTTGAAAACGACCCGCCCTCCATCTGTGAAGCTGTTGCCAACACTTAAGCTCCTGAGTCATAAATTGTCAGGAAGTCTCAGGCGAAACGCCCAGCCCGCCCAAAAAACTGGCCCCGGGGTGCGACAGGGAGAAGTTACGTAGAAGGAAAAGGGATGGAGGGGGAGAATGAGGAGGAGGAGGAGAAGGAGGAGCAGGAGGAGGAGGAGCAGGAGGAGGAGCAGGAGGAGGAGGCCAGAGGAGGAGGAGGAGGCCAGAGGAGGAGGAGGAGGAGGAGGAGGGGGAGGAGGAAGCCTGGCCTCTTCTGGCAGGACTCCATACGCGCGGCGACCTGCTCCCACGAGCCCGACCAATCCACGGCCGCCGGCGGGTCGAGCTTCGAGAGCCGGGCTCTGGGCATCCCGTGCGCCGCGCTGTGGAGCCAGCCGTGCTTCCGGGCGAAGCGCGCCAGGCTCTCCCAGCACCCGAACCTCTCACCTTGGGCGCCCGAGTTATCCGGGGTAACTCGGGTCCGGGGCAACTCGGGTTTGGATTCCCGAAAAAGGAACCCGAATTAGCCCTGACCCGAGTTACCCCTGATGATGTGGGGCTCTGGACGCCCGAGTTATCCGGGGTAACTCGGGTCCGGGGTAACTCGGGTTTGGATTCCCGAAAAAAGGAACCCGAGTTATCCCTGACCCGAGTTACCCCTGATGATTCGGGGCTCTGATCACCGCTGATCAGCGTCTCGAAGTCGCCGAAGACCCAGCACGCCAGCCTGGCGCGCGTCACCGCCACGTTGAGGCGGCGCTCGTCGCTGAGGAAGCCTATGCCGCCGCCCCCCGATCGGGTGCAGCTGATGACCACGATGTCGCACTCCTGGCCCTGGAACCCGTCGACCGTAGCCACCTGCGTGCGGCCTTCCTCGGCGAGCCAGCGGCGTGACTCCGGCTGGCCTTCCAGCCGCCCCTCCTGGATCATCTCCTTGAAGATCTCGATCTGGCCACGGTACGGCGTGATGATGCCTACCCTCAAATCCCTCCCTCTGTCGCGCAGCCTCGCCCGGCAGCACGAGAAGAACTCGTCGAGGTGCGCAAGCACCAATCTGGCCTCCCCCTCGTTGCTCCACGAAGTCCCCCTCCTCCGCTCCTCTAGAACGAAAAACAAACATAACGGCACAAGCATGAGCTCGCGAAGCTCTGCGCTGCTTTCTTGCATCGGCGCTGAGCGCCTCCGCTCCCTGCGCGACGAGGCGTGCGCCAGGGGGCGGCTCCAGAGACGCCGTCGCGAGGGGGGGCCCAGCGCCGATCCGAGAACTCCGCGCGGAGCTTCGAAACACTTTGCTGCTCGTGGCGTGCTTTCTTCCCTCGGGCGTGGACTCCACCCCCTTTCGCGACCCCCCCCTTCGCGAACCGCCGCCTCCTCCTCCTCCTCCTCCTCCTCCTCCTCCTCCTTCTCCTCCTCCTCCTCCTCCTCCTCCTCCTCCACCTTCCTCGCAGTGAAAGCTGCCAGGGGCACTCCACGTGCGCACGGCACAGCATTCTGCGTGCACACCACATCGGGGCAGCGAGCCGACTTCCAGGAAGCGCCATGTGTATCCAGCGAGACGCACGCCGATCAGCGAAACCGACTTGGGACTGCGCGTGCCAATTTCGAAGGAACCGGTGCAGATTTCCTCGGCCGCCTTGTCTGCGTGGGCGTTCTCTCGATGCCCGCTTCACGTGGGCATCGGCCTTGAAGTTGCCTCCTGCGGCCGCCCGCGCACTGCTCTTTGGTGTGGATGCGCGATGAGGATGCAAGGGCCTTGGAAGGCCAGTTCGAAGCTTTTCGAGCGGGGCGCGGTCAACGAAAGTGGCCACGGATGGGCCGAGGAGGCAAGGATGCAAGGGCACCCTTGGGAAAATCGCTCATCCTTTCCGTGTGGGTCGACTGTAGGCTCTCTGCTGTGTTCCATAGAACGAATGCCAGAGCGAAGAGTGCCTGCAAACAAGGCGCACAGAGGGCTCTTGTGCCGAGCAGCGCCTGGCCAGCAGTGGTCCGAGCCCGAGGGCGCACAAAAGGGTCCCCCGCACGAGGCCCCCGTACGCAACTCGCGCGAGCACTCCCTCGATCGATCGAAGATAGTGAGCCTGAGGTCTCCCCCCGCGTCTCCCTGGGGGCGATACGTCAGGGAGCGATCAATGGGGGGGGGGGGGGGGGGGCGATACATGGGGGAGGGGGGGGGGGGGCACCCCTTGCCGCGGCCGCCCTCGTCCTCTCCTCCCGTCCCCGCGCCCTCGAGGCGCGGAGTCGTCGTGCTCCGCCCGCGCCCGCCTCGGTGCGGAGTCTCGCCCGTGTGCTTCCTCCGGCGCAGGAGGCTGCCCTGCTCTGCACTGGCGGGGCTCGTGCGAGACCCGGGCTCCCAGGTGGCGGAAGCGGCAGTAACTGCGCAGGGGCCGACCGTCCCGGCCTGCCTAGAGGCCTACCGCGACATGCCCTCAGAACCAACAGATGCTCTGGCACCCAAGCCAACCTTCTTATAACACAGACTCGGTGTGCTCACACAGAAGAAAGCCTCGGCCCGAAATGCTCTAACACGTCGTGCCAACCTCAAAAAGTGATTCGGACACTCTCAGGGTGGGGGCTAGAGGCAAGCCAGGACGCTTCGCCACTGCTTAGAAGCAGGCGCCACCCCGGGGAGCCCGATTGAGAAGGGGACGATCGGGCCGGGCGAAAGGAGGGGATAGCAGAGGGGGGGGGTTCAGAATCAGCTCACGTAGCTGATTTTCCCGGCGCCTCCCTCACGGCGCCGGGAGGCGCCCATGTATACATCGAGGAATGGGCCCAGCGGCGGGACCGAAACCAGCTGCATGCAGCAGACTTCATACCCCCCCTTTCCCCATCCCCCCCTTTCGCTCGGCCCGAGACGAATACGTCAAGGAATGGGCCCGGCGGCGGGGCCGAAGCCAGCTGCATGCAGCAGACTTCGTACCCCCCCCTTGCCCTATCCCCCCCCTCTCGTTCGGCCCGAGGCGGGCGCCCGCATGCAGAGAGCTCCGAAGAGCTCCTCTCTTGCCCCCGCGCGGCCCGCAGGCTCGCGACCGAGTGGGCGCTCGCCCTCGCCGCTGACCAACAAGTTTCCTCTGATCTGGTCACTGAAAGGGGCCCCAGGACACTCAGATAAATACACACAAATAAAAAGATTCCCCTATATGTTCCCATATTTTCTGGGTTCTTGTCTGCCTCCCCACTTTCCATAATTTCCTATATTTTCTGGGGGATCGACGACTAATTGTGTCTGTGTGTTTTTTTCCCTCCTGAGTCCCGTCCTCCTCACTATACTCTTCTCCCTCCTCCTAGCGTTGATTGGGCCTTCGCGTGAGACTACGCACGTGTGAATCAGCTCGCATCAGCAGCATGACCGCCTTCACACAAAGGCCGAGTGCCACGGTGGGTGGACCAAACGTATCCACGCGTGCCTCGCCAGGACCTTGACTTCTCGAAGCCCCTCCCCGCTCCTCGGCGCGCGCCCCGGAGGTGTCGAAGACACGCATGGCCCCGAATCGACTCAGGGCGCCCTGCCCGAGCTCTGGGGCGGCGCCGCGCTCGAGCAGGCCAGCCAGGCCCGGCCGCTGCCGCACCTGCGCGCCGGTCTTCACCATGTTGGCGTAGAACCTGTCGTTGGGCCAGGCCAGGATGTCCCTTTTAAGAGTCAAGAGGCCAGACTCTGAATTGTTTTTTGCTCATTGTTTCAGCGCAATTTTGGAGAGGAGGGGAAAGGGAAGGAAAGGGCACACGCGAAGCCTCACGCGACGCCTCACATGTTTGTGCTCCTGCTGTACACAAAGGGGGCAGGATGCGTCCGCTGGAGGAGGTGCGCAGAGACTTCGGAGTGAGGCTTCCAGACTCTTCATAAGTAAACCTGCCGGAGCCTTTATAAGGTTCTGGCAAGCTTGCCTGCACGGAAGGAGGGGGCCGCGGGGAGGCCGTGGCGCGGCGAGGCCCAGAAGTCCCTGTCCAAAGGGACCAGGCTTCGGGCTGCGCACAGACAGGCCTCCCATCCCCAGGTAGTCCCAGCAGCTGGCCTCGACAGCCCCCCCGAGTGGCCCAAGGCGGTCTCAATACCCTGGCGTCGCCGGAGGCGGCGCCCCTGGGGCGCTCCGCTGAGATCGCCCAGGGCTGCTCGGGGTGCTTGTTGAAGCTGGCTGAGACTGCTCGGGAGGG